ATATATGCATATATATATATATATGACTATATATATATATATATATGCATATATTTAAATATATTATATATGCGCATGCACAGGGCATATATATTGATATATATATATGTATGTATGTATATATATATATTGTGATCGGCTCGGGGAGGGGGCCTATCCCGAACCGAGCTAGGGTTCTGGGCCCCGGCCGCGTGGACTCAAAATTTGAGAACACGGAAATTTGACACTGTAACATGAAGTGTAGGGTTTTTTATAATCCAGTAATTAACTGGCACTAGGCCTTACTGTGTTCATTCAAGTGAGGTACTAAGTGTAGCTAGGCGAATCACAATTACTGACTTGATAGTGTACTACGTTTTGTTTTATGTCTACCTAAGATTAGTCGCGATTTGAGGTGGCATCTTGTTTATCTTCGGTTTTAGAAATTTTAGGCATCACGATGGTTAAGCCGGCAGTAGTAGAGCTCACCGGTGGTGAGTCCGACAACCTTTGATTGTGGAAAGAGCACGTTGATCTCGTTTGCACCAAGGTTGCCTACACTGGACTCGGTGGAAGTCAAATGGCTGAGAGAGAGCGCATTTTAAAGGAATCTCTTTGCCAGGACTTCTTTATGACACTCCAGTCGCGGATGCTGCCTGCAATGAGGGCAGATTTCGACTGGCTGGTAGCTTATGCGCGGCTGTACGCAGGCGTGTGGCCGCGTGTCAGCAAAGGGGATAAAGCGGCAGTGACAGCAAACTACGCCAAGTCATTGCGGCAGGACCGCGAACGCTTGTTCGAGGTCCTCCAGGAGCTCATCGTGTTCATGTGTGGACGCGCGATATTAACCGTCCTCATCTCGGAGGTAGAGGCCCAAGGTGAGAACTCAGACGAGCCAGTGACTTCTGCGGCGGAATATATATCCGCCATGATTCTTCAGAAGCGGGCGCCGGTGGTGGACTTGAATGGGTCCAAAGACCCCCAGCCATCGATGGGGCGTGTAGGGGATCTGGCGAAGGCCGCCGGAGCCTCAACCAAAGACAAGGGGCCCCAAGTCGGCGGCGGAAAAGAGGAAGGAAGCCTATTGTGCGGCGAAGAAGGCAGAAGCCGCGCGACACCAAGAGCAAGGGTTGCGTGCCCAGCATCTCTCGGGGTTAGTAGACCCCAGTGGTAGTGAGGCTTGTAATGGCAGTGATGGAGCCCAACACAGTAGGCCTGAGGGGCGCAGAAATTGCACGGTCGGCGGCGCAGCCGCTGCCGGAGTTCATTGCGGCGGAAGTGGACCGTTTCTGTACACGGTACACGAACACGAACTGCCGTGAACAGCACCACGCCATACTAGCAATGGCGGAATGTAAGATAGAAAGACCACTGTCCCGACCTTCTTGAACAAGGTGCTCAAGGAGGTGAAGGTGCAAACGGATAGGGTAGTTGAGTTGGTCGAAGAGATTTTTCGGCCAACGACGTTTGCGTTTACAGTGACAAGGATGGTGGAGAAGCATGGGTTGTCTGAGATTTTGTTTTGGCTCCGCCACACCTATGTGCAATGTAGTGGTATAATGATATTATCCTGACGTACCCGGGCTCGGGTGCGCAGGGTGCAGATGGTGTGCCCCGTCAGCCGCAGCAGCAGCAGCAACCAAAGGCTGGGAAGTCGGTCAAGTCTCCGTTTGACACAGGCCTGCCCAAGGGGCACAAGTACCCCGACGGATCCAAGTACTGGACAGGAGCCAAGCGTAGAGCGTACGTGTGTATATACATATATGTATATATTATTATTATTATTATATTATTATATATATATGTATATATATTTGTATATATATATATATATATATATATATATATATGAATATATATATATAGACGGTGTGCTCGATCTGTACAATCGTAGGTGGGATCAGCTATTGGTCGATTATGGAGTTTGAAAGTCCCTGTTATCAAGCGCACTTAAAATGGCCACCTCAATGTTTCTTTACAGTTCCGTCATAGTATTCACGAAATGATATTGACTAGTATTGTCAAGGAAATATAAAATATCACACATCACTTCCTGCTCTTGCTGTAATTATTTATCTTCTAAACAACATTCGCTCTTATTGGTGTTGCTCAGCGTATGCCGTAATTTCCCTGCGTATGTCTTGATTTCCCTTTCGATATGAAGCACATTGCTGCCGCGTGATGTTTATCGTCAGGAATCCGGTTTTATTCACTCTTCAGCGATTCATTGTCGAGTACTTCTATAAACTGCATGCAAATTTCATATAGTAAACTATATATATGCCTACACGATTATTAACACACCGATTGCCAAAAGCCTTTGAATGACGGACTTGTGCAATTTTAGCAACAGCTGACTACGACAAACATTGGTTACATCGTGCAAGCACGGTTTGGCCAATCAACTGTGCTAACTGTTGAGTATCTCTAGATCACTAAACATTTATACCATGTCGAAAAAAAATGTGTAGCTTCGAATGCTTACCTCGCATCAGCAGCCTCGATTGTTAGTATTCTGTTTGATAGCGGATACCAGTGCCGCCAGGTATGTTTCACTGCCCTGACCTTTGAGAGTGTACATATGAAAGCTTTGAACGACACAGCTACTGTGATGTATTGAACACTAAACGTTGTCGTGATCATCATTGATATATATATA